TTTAATAATATATAAAAATGATATAAAAAAATAATTAAAAAATTTATACTTATATCACCGCGCCAAATGACTAATTGAAATAAAGGATTGCATCATTATTTCATGCAAATACTTGGACACCAAGTACTAATTTTTTTAAAACGTTCGAGAAAATATTAATTTTCCCCTTCCCTCAAATTCTGAAAACCCTGCTTAAACCTTTCTTCAGATTCTTACTATTTCTGGCTTAGATCTCCGGTCCTTGTACGCTTCATCATCATCCTTCCCTTTCTACACAATCTTCATGAATAAGTTCCTGAGAGATTGCCTTAATTGATCAATCTAATTTCTGATACCCGTTCTCTTGATTTCAGCTTTTGAGAAGACAATGCAGAGATCCATCGGTTCTCCAAACGGATTTTCAGAAAAATGCTGCCGATTAAAGGTACTTCTCCATCTTTAGAAAGAAGTTTCTTCTTAGGGATTTAAGGCCTAAAGAAATTCTTTCAGAGATGAATCCTGTTTTTGTTCGGCTGCATCTTGTTAGATCTGCTGTTAAACTTAAGGATTAGTGTTGTTAGCTGTTTTTTCATATTCATTTGATCCAACCAAAGATAATATTATCTAATCAAACTTGTCATTTCATGTGATCTAATGTTTTCAGTCCAATTTAAGTTCCAAATAAATCTCTTTCCGATTCTAATCAAAATAAGCATACATATATCAGATAGTGATTTTCTCCGTCAAGCTGCTAAATCTACAGGAAAAATCGTAAAGAAAGATGTTTTTATAAATTAGACTGTAGCCTCACTTGCCTTCTTCTTGCATGTTTTGAGTCACTTGGTTTTTGTTAGCATTATCAATGAGAGATGCAGTAATTAATGTTCTTATCATAATTTGAGGTTTCCTCGGATTCTGGAAAGCTGAAGTGGGGCATGGGAATGTTGGTATCTTCCCCCCAGAATGAAATGCATCTGACTGGGTTATCCAGAATTGGACATACTTGCTTCTAGCAATTTTTCTAACAAGCAAACAGTCGCATTTCTCATCTCAGCAGGGGAACTTCAGACACGAGTCCTCCCATTCCACTGATCGGCCTTCCATAAATCTGTCTCTCTTCTTTGCTGGCCAAGCAAAAATGGAAGAGACAGTGAAGCAAAGTACAGCTACTATTACCAGTGACCCTTTTATCAACCCTATGGTGTCCAACTTCAATAATGCTTGTAGAACTGTACCACCTCCATACACTTTTATGGGTTGCACAGAGAACTGCTCTCCAACATATCTTTCCAGTGGAAACCAATGTCTGGATTTCTTCTTCCAGGAGGTTCCTGACACAGCCAGCAACAGAGGTAACCCGTAAACTGCAATCAGCTTGGGAGCAAGCTCCGCTGACTGTCCTTAAAACTTGTATGCAACTTGAGAGGCATTAGAGGGACTGGGAAGTCAGATAGGGAGGGATTTTATGAGTTGGCTTTGTGGCTTCATCAAAATCACCCCGAAATGCTGGCATCAAATAGTGATTCAATCCGTGAATTTGGTTACTTTAAGGACTTGCCTGAAATTCTCTCTCTACTTCTGGATGGGGCTGATATTCAGAAAATAGCTACAAGGCTACCAAGACGGAGAAGATGTGATCTTTGGAGAGAGGAAAGAAGACTTGCAGCAGCTGGAAAAGGCCTCGAAAGGTACAACAATGACCCAGTATGTCAGTTTTTACACAACAGGATGACAGATGTTTTTGCCAAGCATTTGAAATCGGATATGGAGAATTTGAGCTCCGGTAAGCTGTACAAGATTAGCCTGGCTGCAAAATGGTGCCCTTCTCTTTACTCCCCCTATGATAATTCAACACTCTTATGTGAGAGCATGGCAAGGAGGCTTTTCCCTCGTGATTCATACCCTCAATATGAAGGCATAGAAGAGGCTCATTACACTTACAGGGTCTGAGATCGTCTTAGGAAAGAAGTCCTCGTTCCCCTACGCAAAGCCTTGCAGATACCGGAAGTTTACATGTCTGCGAAAAAGTGGGATTTGCTTCCCTGCAAGAGAGTGCCCTCAATTGCCATGAAAAATTATAATAACATCTTCTTGGTGCATGACCAAGAACGATTTATGAAATTCCAAGGGGTTGTCAAGCAGGGAAAGAAAAAAATCGCAGCAGGAGCATTGCTCCCTCATGAGATCATCTCATCATTAAGAGATAGTAAAGATGACAAAAATGAAGTTGCAGTTTTACAGTGGCAGAGAATGGTGGAGGATCTTTCTGCTATTGGGAAGCTAAGTAACTGCCTTTGCCATTTGTGATGTCTCTCGAAGCATGTTTGGAATTCCGTTGGACATAAGGATTGCACTTGGACTATTGGTTTCTGATCTGAGTGAAGAACCATTGAAAGGAAAACTCATCACATTCAGCTATAATCCTCAACTTCAAATCATTCAGGGAGATGATCTTCATTCCAATATTAAGTCCATAGACAGGATGCATTGGAAGATGAACACATTTTCAGAAGGTTTTCGACAGGATTTTGGAGGCTGCCAAGAAAAAGAACATTACAGAAGATCAGATGATTAAACGGCTGTTTGTGTTTACTGACATGGAGTTTGACCAGGTATCAGCTCGTTCCTAGGAGACAGACCACGAAGCAATAACAAGAAAGTTCCATGAGGCCGGAGCGTCAGAGATAGTGTTCTGGAACCTCAGAAACTCCTCAGCAACTCCAGTTCCAAGCCGTAAAAAAGGAGTGGTAATGGTGAGTGGCTTCTCCAAGAACTCGCTGAAACTGTTTCTAGATAGTAGTGGGATATTAAATCATGAGGACAGTATGAGAAAGCTATAACGGGTAAGGAATATCAGAAAGTTCTTGTAGTTGACTGATTAGAAATGGTTGTAATCACCTTTGGAACTAGGTTTTATATAACCATCTAAGGCCTTCGCTTGGAAGTTTTTAGAATCTTCTCCAAGGTTTTATATATCTCATTCTATTCCCGACCAGATGAAAGAAAATAACATGAATATTGTTCGTCATCTGTACAGTGATGTAATTATTATGCAAAATACCTCTAATAGCTATAGACAAAATTCAGCACAAATGAGAGAATTCTAGAGCATTATATGTCGAACACTTGACAGAGAGTAAACAATACCTCATTACTCTTCACCATTATTCCAAACCTCTCGGAGAAGCTGATAGCGGACAACCTTTCGACCTCCCATTCTGTTTGGCATCCAGTTGGGTGCTTTTGTGGTAGGAGAAGCTCGGGAGTTCTCGGTCATGAACAAAGTAAGGGGTGAATCCAACTCATCAAGTTCATCGTCACTGGTGTATGATTTTTTAAGCACTGATGACTTGCTCCTTTGCAGCGTTTGATTGCCTATCTCCCCTATGATACCAGCTAGTGAAGCTGCAGATGGTGGTGAATATACTGTAGGAGTGGCTGTGCATGGGAAGCTCGTGATAGACCCTTCCTCAGGCTCAGATTGGTCCTGTATCGATGCCAAGAGGATTAGCAACATCCCCCATGAATGAAAATAAATAGAGAAACAAACATTTCAAGCAAATTTATTGGTTTTCTGAAATGAACAAACCTCATCTAAGGCTTTAAAAACTGTCTCTGGAACTGGCTTCGGGCTGAACTCATCAGGGACAAAACAGTCAAGAACCCTCATTATTAACGGTGCACTGAACTTGGGGCAGACCTTAAAAAATGAAATGCAAACGGAAAATGATATTAATAGAGAGGGAAACAGCATATGCTGGGAAAAGTGTGTTGAGAACAAATGTTGCAACCAAGCTTTTATATACCTCTTTTCTTGTAGACTTATCTGCAAGCATTTCAGATGGAAGCATTAAGAGGTCACTCAACGCATTGAGAAGAGAGAAAGGCTTGAAGAATGATGCTTCAGATCCGGCATTTTGATCATCATCTACTTCATTGTCAACTTCAGGACAGTCATTATCATCAATACCAAATAGATCTGTAAGCCATCTTGACCAGGTCCCAATCTGGCAACATACGGATAATAGAGAAAAACCCTTCAATCAACAGAAAGCAAGACAACCAAAACTTCCAAACCTTCTCTTTACATTATCAAAGGTAGAATCAGATTTCCACCTTTCTGTTGGTAATATTGGGATGAAGACATCAGATGGCTTAAGCATAACTTGATTTCACAATTTTGGTCAAGATGCAGAGATGTGCATGCATCAATGTGAGATAAGCATACATGGGAGGAAAGATGGTAAAAGAATCACTGTTGAATCTAGGAGGCAAAAATCTTTCTCATCAGCAAAATGGGACGCATTAAAATATGTCCAACAGAATGAGGCATTAAATACTCACAGCATTTTTTAGTTGTACACCTGCCCCAAAACTTGATTTTCCGGCAGGAATAGGAAGAACTCTTGGATCACTAATGGGATCAGAAACAGGATCTGTGGGCATCTCTTCAGCTGATTCACGAAGAATAGCATTGAACATTGCCACATCTAATCTACCTACCAACTGCACCATTACCTAATGACAGAAACAGAACATTACAAAATCTGTTAACTGCATTACTAACATCATCAACCTGGTAAATAGAAGACTAAAGAAGATGGGTAGGGATATCAAGACAAGAACTTAATTATGAGCTGCATTAGGCCTAATTGGGTCATGCATATTCAGGAGGGAGATTTCAATTTGCGACTGTACCAATTTAGACAGCATGTGCAAGCAGCCACACTCATGCCCTCCAGCTCGGAGGGGACAAAGCCTCTCACAGGCATCTTTGAAAGCCTTCTTCCAAAGCTCAATAGAAAAATTTCCCTGCTCTTGATCGCTCAATCCATATCTCCTAGTTGAGGCTTTTTTCAATGTTGAGCTCTTTGCAGCTGCAGACTGCATATGTGGTGTCAATGTCTGAAAAGCAAAAATCAGGGAAATCGCATTAGTGATGAAAAGTAAAGAAGCTCCTCATTAAACTTGAAAGGAAGAAACAGACCTGCCACCATACAGACTCAACAATTCGGGAAAAAATCCATGCTTCAAACTTCTCCAATGCAACTAAAAATGTTTGAGGGTCCTCCCAGTCATCAGAACTTTCTAATGGAATGCTTTCCTTTTCATCTTGAGGAGAGGACGCTTCTGATGCACTTCTCCTGCTATTTCTGCTGAAGCATTGTCCAGCAGAAAGCTGCATTTCCCTAACAGCCTGGTTAACAATTGCTCTTAAGACAATTGAATTTGACAACCAGAAAGTCAACCTGTGAAGAGAAAAGAGTAATTGATGAACTATCAAATGAACAAGTAAAAAGGATGGCTTTCCAGGGGAAAAGAAAAAGGAAGAAATTTTAGAAATAGAAGAAACAAACACGTCTAGGCATATTGATAGATATACTCATATTGTCTTAAAAGCATCACCTATTTCACAGCAATCTTAGAATAATGAATCCAGATACTTAGAAAGGATAAACCTTTTCGGAAGTAATAGACAATTAACTGGCATGGGGGTTGAGCTCCCATTAATACACACCTTGGAACATCATTTCCACAAGCTTTAGAAACCATAACCAATCCCGAAAGAGCAGCCCTAGCTGCATTCGCCCTCTTAGCTTGGGAACTTGCCTTGCAAGCATGAACATAGAATCTAGAAACACGTCTTGCTGGAGCATGAACCTTGTTTGGAGAACTCCCATGTTCAGCAACAACAGAATAAAGGCTGACCTCCATGGCAGCAGCTTCTTTTAATTCTTCTTCAAGCATTTCAATTTTAGACTCAAATTCAGCTTTGTTGTTGGAAAAGCTGTTTGATGTTTCTTCCCTTTTGATTAGTGCATCTCCTTTAGCAGCATCAGGAATCTCTTTAGGAATAATGGTTGCCTTAGACGTGAAATGGTTCTCTTTGAGGAGCCCAGTGCTCTTAGCTGAATCAATTTTAGACTCCAATTCTTCTTCAAGCATTTCAATTTTAGACTCCAATTCAGCTTTGTCATTGGAAAAGCTGTTTACTGTTTCTTCCCTACTGATTGGTGCATCTCCTTTAGCAGCATCAGGAATATCTTTAGGAATATCATTTGCCTTAGACATGAAATGGCTCTTTTCAAGCAAACCACTGCTGTCATTAGCTGAGTCAAAATTTAACTGAACAGACTTCAACTTCTTTAATCTATCACTTCTAGTGGAAGGACCTTGCACAACAGATGTTGCCTGGCTAGATGCAAGACTATTATTTCTAAAATTGACTTGCCTTCTCAGAGCATCTTTGGGTGATTCATGAAGAAATGTGTCCTCTGGAGGATGTTTTTTCACATCAACCATATGTCTACCATGTCCATTACCTTGTGCCGTATGTCTACCTTGTCCATTCCCTTGTTGCTCCTTTTCCTCCTTGGTCTTGATATGAAAATTGTGAGTTAAAGATTCCTTTGCATTGTTTTCAGCATCCTTCCAGGCTTTACCATCCTCCCTATTCATAGGAGGGTCATTATAGTTTGTTTGGTTTGAGTTTACATCCACCTTTTCACACATATCTAAGAATGTGACTCTACCCTCAGGATTCTGCACTTTGGAGAATACATTTTTTGAAGGCAAGGATTCTGAGCTCCCATTTACTTGTCTGAGTCCTTCAACCACTGAAGTCACACCTGAGTTAGAATCCAGGCAGGCTGATGATAGAGTGGTCTCAACCCTTCCAATTTCACCCTTCATAGGCAAGGGGGTTGAGCTCCCATTTACACGTCTGAGTCCTTCAGCCACTGGATGCACCCCTAAGCTTGAATGCAGGCCATCTGAAGGTACAGCAGTCTCAACCCTTCCAATGTCGTCCTTTACTGATTCTGATCTAATCTGCAGTTAGTAGCAAATACTATTGAATCATTTAAATTTTGGAACTATTAGGTTCATTAGCACAAAGTGAACCAGAACCAAAGAACTTAGATCAGCAGTGCACTGGCAGTATATTAAAAACTGATGTCCCCTATCTTCTCAAAACTACTAGCAATATGCCTCACTGTAAATCAATTTATTTAAGATATGCCTTTCAAAAATGAAAATCATTAACACCTATTTACTCTTCTTATAGAATTCAAGCAACTTCATAGCTTCAAGTGTCTAGAAGAAAACTTATGTACATAAAATCTAGTTTCAATAGAAACTACCATGAGCTGTGAGCTGTGGCCTGCAAGTAGGAGAATGAAAATCCTTTTTTGTTCATTGTCAAACCCTAAAATATGATACTCAAGGAAATAAGAAGGGAAGAGAATCCACCAAGTCAATTTAGCATATCATACGAACAAATTTTATCCATCACTCACCAACAAATGAAATTGATCTGTTTCAGCTGGACCTATTCCAAGATGATAAAATTTCACAGAGTATTGCCAAAATGCTCAATCTTATAGAGAAAGCAATTTTACACCACCCCCCCCACAAAAAAAAAAAAGGAAACAGGTGAAGAGAAGGGTGTGGTGTTGTTAAATACCTTATCATTTTTACCATGCAAACCTCCAGAAGGATCTAGAGCAGAAGAAGTGGTAGCCAGTGATGAATGTGAGGCAACATCATCATCGTCGTCGTCAGTAAAAGATGCAATCTCTGTTTCCTCATCATTTCCTTCATTCATAGATTCATAAACAGATTCACTTCCATCCTTGTCCAGTGACACTTGTTTTGACAAACTGTCCTTTGTAGATGAGCTGGAGCTATCTTTATCAAAAGGCTGAATATTAACATGAAGAACTGATTGCACCATGTTTCTTGAACTCCTTTTGAAGCTAATAGGACAGCTAATGGTGATAGTTTCCTTGATGGCCCCATAATCTGCAAGGTTTATAACAGCAGATCCCAAAAATTGACCTTTTGCTCCCTTATCCTTTCGATGTTCATACAAGTTAAACTGTAAAACATTCTTTTGGAAACTATCACGAGCAGTGCCTTTTCTGGACGATTCTTGATATAAAGTCACTGGAAGTCTGAAAGACTCACTGAACTCAATTTTCCCATCCCCAACACTAGAAGTTAAGGACCCAGAACCTTCATCACCATTCTCCCATTGAAGCAAAACAGATTGTGCAGATCTCAGGGACTCCGATGGCGGCCAAGGCTTTATCTCCTTAACATGTACAGAATAATCACATCGAACTGCTGTGCTTTTCCGGCTCTTAGTTCTTATCCCAAGAACCATTGTTTAGAGTAATACTGGTTTCAGTCTTAATTTACAGAGTAAGTCAAAAGGCCTTCATGTCCTTAAAAAGAACCATACCTATAAAGATCAATAGAGAACAAACTACCATGAGAATTAAATATTAGTTAGAAAGATATAGAAAAATTAACAACCTTAAATAACACACATGTAAATAAAATGAAAAGGATCAAAATGGCGCAAAGAACATGCTTTTAGTACCAAAGAAGGTCATGGTGTTCACAGATGGTGGAGGACAACAGTAAAGGAACAACCAGAACAAATGAACAAGAGAAGACACTGAAAGAAAATATGAATAGAAGGCAGGTCCCAACTCCCAGCATACATCCAAGACCCTAATGTTTTTGGGTAATCTGTCCAATCAAACTTTTCTAGCATTTCATTAGCTTATAAAGCCAAATGGAAGCAATAAGACACCAAAATAAAAGCATTTTTTTTTTTTCAAACTAACTACTACATGAACGAGAAAAAGTCCTCCCTCCACAAACAAGTAAGCAACGAAGATATAAGATTGCGTCAGATGCCCACCCCCAGTTGATTCTAAAACTGAAGAGCTTTAAATATGTAATCGGTTGAATTACTCAAAAGAATAAATAATCATGCCTGACCACATTAAGATGGAATTACCCATCATTACAAGAGGGAACAACTAAAAACAGATATTTGCATTTAAATATAATTCAGTTTGCAATCAAACAATTGTAGATGATCAGCATCAAAAGATTGAATCTTTGAATCAGAGAGAAAAGACAGACTACCTACTTCACAGTTCACAACTCATCAAAACAATAATAAAATCCAAATAATGGCATCAGATCCAGGCATGATCAGACCCAATAACAAAATCAAAACATACCAGAAAAAGGGTATGCAGGAAGAATACATGAGAATTGAATAAACAACCACAGAGATGATTTGGTAACTGAGAAACCCAGGATAATGAACACAAGTATACTGTATAGAAGAAGATTGATGAAGAGCTAATGCGGGATTGATTCCTACCTTCTCTGAAGAACCCACTGTGTACGAGGTTGAGGTGATCGTGTTCCTTATCTCCTCCATTATTGTTATTATATTTGTTGTGTGCTGGGTCAAATGTGAACAAAGTTGTTGAAAAATGAAGCAGAAAAGTAGAGAAAGGTTGCAACTTTAGGAAGGGAGGAATAAGTGATGTCTAAGTTTTCAATAATTTTTCTGTCTACCTTTTTCTGTCCTTCGTTGGTGAAAATGTAAAATCACAGTGTTTTGAAGTTGAGGGAGAACATCGAGAAGTTACAGATACTGTGACGCTGATAACGGCATTTCAGGTATCGTTAGATTGTCAGGGTAGGTGCATCAAATGGAGAATTTGTAAGAGTTGGCCGTTTACGGTAAAATAGAAATTATTGGATACATACAACAATGATAGTGAGTCTAATATGATTGTATAATATATATATATTTTGTTGAGACTATTAAGTATATAATTTAGTGATAAAATTATTTTTTTAATCATATGATTAAAATTTAATTTCTAATTTTTACCTTAAAAGAATATACGTTTTTTTTTTATTTCCATAAGGTAGAAAATGTCATGTCTGGTTTACATATATTAGCTAAAAATTATTTAAATATAAAAACTACTAATAATGAAATCTTTTTATCATTACTTTTAATTAATTATATACATGTACCTCATGACTCAATAACTAACTATACACCTTATCATAATATATATCCCTCATTAGTCATTTCTAAGACTATAGTTTGAATTTTCCTCTCCAAAAATTATATTCCGTTCAAAAAAAAAATTACTTTTAAATATAAATTTTTGTAATGACTTGTGTGGTCCTTTGTCCCTTATTCCCCTTCCCCTCCCATCCTAT